GAGTGAGCGGGAATATGAAAGAGATCGGGAACGGGAAAGAGAATATGAGAGCGATGATTATATTGAAAGAGGTCGGGAAAAGAGTCGAGAAAGCAATAAGCACAGGACTCGGTCCGTCAGTGAGCGTCGTATTGACAAGCAGCGAGAAAGGGAAAGATCTCGCTCCCCAAGCAGTCGCCATGGCTCTACATCTGCTATTGGACGCTCTAGTTCCAGACCCCGAACAGCTAGTTCGTCAAGTAGCAGACACCAATCCCAGTCACAACCGGATAAATATTCCTCCAATAGCCGTCACAAAACACCCTCTACCGGTGGACGATCAGACGTATCTGATGGTTTTAGGCGGGAAAGGAAAGGTTCCGAGCGATCTGGTTTTAACCGTTCAAGGACGCCCTCTGTTGGAAGTCGGACGGATAGAAATAGATCGTCATTGCGGCGACCTCGGAGGCAGTAAATCTTAAAATAGCTAGCATTTGTATATATCATGTCACTTTTCAAAATTTTCATGTACATCTAATTGCAGCTGTCTCATATTATAAAGTTGACATTTTTTCCTTACTGCATAAGTGGGTCAGAAGGATATTTTGTATATTTCATTGTAGACATGTCATAAGCTATCATAATTTTTATCTATCCGTGAATATATGATTCGCTGAATTTAGAATTTTAGGTTAGGCATACAATATGTCATAATTTTTTCATCAACTAAGATTTTATTTCGTCGTTTATTTTCAACCATTCCAAATAATACGTTTGTAACATTTTGATCTTGAGATTTATGGTCCCCCTTGCCATTCGATCTCCATGCCGTTTTTGTTATGTTCAAGGTATACCGAGAAAAGATTTTATTGTAAATAGCCTGATTAAGACATAATTCAATAGGGTTTCTTTTGACGTTTTTGTGAAGGCGAAGAATTAGTTTTGAACGTAATTATAGTTTTGAAGGTGGTTATCCATTATATTTTACCACAAATTATTGGTAAATATTTAAGGAAAATGGTTGTAAATTCAACAGAAAACTTCTGTTCTGTTGGAAATTTAAAAATATTATGTGAACGGCGGTGTAGTCTGGTTGTGAACTGCGATAGTTCTGTTCTATATTTACCATCTTCACAATGTCAAGCTATAAGAATGAACTCCCTCTTCGTAAAGCTTGACTTTGTGATCATTGTGAACTACATTTTAAATGCATACTACTTGTATAATAAGAACGGTAGATATTCGTGATTACTATGGGAGTTCCTCATAGTGAAATAATTCCAAATTGGCCAAACCGACAAACATTTAGTTGGCGGAGAAACTTCCAGCACCACCAATTCAGTCTACACCCTTGTGTGAACCATACCACATATTTTTTTTTAAATTTCATTTAGTTTTATAGTTAAATATGATTAGATAAAACACCTTTTGGCAAAATACCATTAAGTGACTTTCATTTCGAGAAAGTGATTTTTATTATGACGTGATAAATCTATTTTTTTATAAGTTAACAGTTGGACTAACATACATGAATTTAATTATGCCTTATCACGATTCTTAACAGTAAAGAATAACAAATAACAGGCGGATCTTTGAAGGGTTTGGTCATATTTATTTCATTCGATTGAATGTGGCTCTTGAAATTCTGTTTTCAGTTTTCATGTGCCCTCTGTATAGGACTGACTGCTCACGGGTTTCTCCGTCTTATTTTTGTAGGGTCTCCTTGAATTACATCATGAACATGTGAGCCAAGAGATCGTGCTCACCATTCTCCACCCCTTCGAGGATCTGGCCCAATGTTACATATCATACATATTACAATGACCACCTTAGTGCACTTAAAAAATATGATATCATATCCCAGCTCTTAGTGCCATTTGCCAATCTGGCTACATAGTTCATATTTTAAATAATGTCTTTAATAGTGCTTTTATGATTTTTTAGTTTTATGCTTTTATTGTGTATGTATATATTGTGCATAACTGAATAAATTTGTTTAGTGTTAAGTTCACTTTTCTGAATTTGAACTGTTGGCGAGCATGTTCGGGATTTCTTTCTATGTAGAAATTTCGAGGACATTTCATGGGAGATCATCCACCACATCCAAAGACTTTTTGTCATTATTTCTTTCAGAATGCTCGCTGCAGTTCATGTTTAGATTAGTGCCTTTGATCTTGATATGATTAATGAAATTCTTCATTTCTGAATTTCAGACTTGGTTCAACCCATGAAATGTTCTCCTAAATTCTTAAGGAATATACGGACTCTTTAAAATAAAATTATAAATTTTGAGATGGATTCCAGAGAAAAGCCCATGAGGCTAAAAACGCCCAGTTTTCCCAAGAAATAGAACTTGCTGGATAGTGTAGAAGTGTAGATAGGAACTACACATACGAAGCAGTACACCGTCAATTACATCATCAAAGACATACCTCGACCACCATGGATAGTGGTATATCAGTAGGGGTAATAGCGGGTGTTTCGGTGGCCGCCTGTGTCCTAATCCTAGCTATAGTTTTAGTAGTGATTTATTGTTACGTGAGACTCAGAAATAATGTTAAAACAGTCAAACATGTAGAAGACGGAAAAGCGAATTCGTCCTGGTCGACTAAAGCATCTTCAAGTAAGTCTGGATTATTTATTTCCCCCATTCCTAATAAAGAAAGGTTATTCTTCAGTTCTTCTATGAAACAAGGTCCTACATTGCAGCAGTTGATAGGTTTGGTTGTTAGTCAACCTGCAAATCTTGCAGGTGTCTTGTCTGATAACGAATTAAGTTTAAGTGTGCAATCCTGTGACATGAGGCTGACAATAACTAGTCCTAATTATTTTTTCAGATTATACCGCTTCGACCCACGATCGATCAGAAACATCCCGTGTTACTAATGCTTCCAATGCTAGAAACGATAACCGCGGACAAGACAGCAGTCAGGAGATCAGCAGTATCAGTAGTGCCGATTCAGTCTTCGGTTACAATAACGTTTCCTTTAATCCGAACGCTGATGATAAAGATAGAAAAAAGAAAGTAGCCTTCCATTCCAAACACGTGTACAATAACGAAGCATTTGACAGTACTGGAACTGGTGATAGTAGCTTCGAAAAAATCAAATACAAGAAGAGAGAGAGTCGTAATGGTTCTCTTTCTCGTGAAGCTCGTTCTGGCAGTAGTAGAAAAGCGCGACAAAGAAACAGCAGTGTTGACAAAGATAGTGTAGACAGTCGTAGACGAACCTCAGGTGACAGCCGACAGTCCAGGTCTGTGGACAGAGGTGATAGAGATAAAGGTGATGGAGACAGAGATGATAGAGATAGGAGTGATAGGGATCGGGGTGATAGAGACAGAAAGCCATCAAATGGCCAGAGTTCTACATCTTCGGTGCAAAGAACTGCACATTCTGGAACTCGATCTAGTGGTCGCTCCAGGTCAAGGTCATCTGGTCGTAGATCCAGTGGTCGCTCTGGTTCCCAAAGCCGCCGTAATTACGCTCGCTCTGCGTCGTCTGATACTAGTAGACGCAGTAGTCACAAGAGTTCGCTTCCACCAGAACAACGACCAAGTATTGCTGCCATGTACGCAAATCGTGCGTTTAGAGACGATGATGATCGCTCACCGTCTCCGGAAGAAAGAGATCAGGTAGATCGATCAGCACCTCATCCTGAGAGTCAAGTGTAATCATTTGAAACTTAAGAATTCTGTTGGGGCAACTCTATGTAATTCGACCTTTTAAATAGATACAGTGTGTTGGTATTGATAGTGTGATGGATCCATGATTAGTTCTTGGATCCAAGTAACATTCGCGTATAGGCTGTGTTGTGTATAAGTCGCAGATGGAAGGAAAATATTTTAAAGATATTAAGAATATTTTGACGATTAATGATTCAATTTGGGAAAGGGAACTTTTGTAATTGCATAGAGCTGCCACACCAAGTTATTCATTCAAAGCAGCAAACCATTGAGCAAATCATCCATTTCATATCAATACGAGTATGTAAAATAATCTAAATGAGCACATCATCGTCATTTCCTTATTGTAATTCAGTATCTTTTATAGTTTGTAATGTTGGAGTCAAGACTCCGTTTCTCGCGGTAGATACATATTGCTTTATGCCATTTTATTCAAAGTATATTTGAATTGGAGTATATTTGATTTGGTTGCTTGATGGAGTTTGCTTGTGTGACATTGTACAAGTCAGCTTTGTAAAGGATGGACTCAAAGTGGCAAGTCACTCCCTCAAAAATGTATTGGTATATGAAGACGATGATTAGATATTGTTACAGTTACATAGTTTGTGAGAACGATAGGCCTACTTAATAATTATTGTGTGATCTTATTTTGAGATCACCTGAACAAGATGATTGTTATTGGCGCAACTGAAACTGTGATGTGTGACATATCCTTCCTTGACAATACTGTCTGCTAAATAGTTTGGTGATTCGTATTTAAGACAACTCATACGCATTTTATCACAAGGCATTAGTAAGTCATGTGGCTTAGGTACAACTTAGAAGTATGCTCCCATTGTCTTGACATAAGGTAATAAACAAAGTGTCAACGTATCTTTTTATTTGTGAAATAGTGATTAAAAATTTTAAAAATGTAATGATGATGGAAGATACTGTACTGTATGATGTGTTTTGACGTTCTGATAGACGTTCCAGTTCCGACCAGAAATCAAACATTCCGACCAAAAAATCCGACCTCAGCTGCCTTAAATCTGTTCTTAAATCTCGATTTTTATGAAGATTAAAGTAGAAAGAGTTTGCCTGTATTTTTATTCTCATAGACTTTACCTAACCCGGGTAAAATATATCTTAGACTAACGAAACATGAATAACATTTACATCAATTCCGTATCACGTTCTGTTTTCTTTCACCATAATTTTTTTTTTTTTTTTGATGTATGGCCTTTAACAGGGAAGAGATTATAGGATTATCGATGATAGTGTATGCCAAAATTTGTTTCATTATTCATCTCATTCTGGCAACATCCGCATGAAGGTTTCGTATCATCAATTGCTCTGTCAGTACAATTACCATATATTACTTTGCTGTGTAGTTTTTGTTTTTTTTTTGCTTTGCTCTATTTATTTCTCTTTGATTTTGATTGTTTTGTTTTTGATTTTTATTGACCATTTTGTTACAAGCTAACTGAAGTGTTTTAATATTGTCTATATAATCGGTCAAAGTTATTTATGCTCGTGCACCAAAACATAAATACAGACAGTCTACTTTACTTTCAGGGTAGATGAAGTGGTTCTTGCATGTCAATTTCAAAATATAACTACTTTAAAAAATGGTGTACTCTGCGTTAGAGTTACAAATTGGGGAGATTGAAGCGACTTAATGAGAACCTAACTCGAGCTGTCCAAATGTCACGTAATAGTGAAATTCTTAACCATTAAGTGAGTGAAAATTTAGCCAATGCTGATTGGATGTTTAATAATCCGGATCAATGTCCATATATATTTTGCCTACTATTTTTTCCATCAAGCTCAAAATTGTATTAAAAAACCGTTGTTGATTTTGTTTTCTTGCAGTGACATCAATAGAGATATATTTTTACATCAGAAAAATCTGTTATTTTTATTTTATGTTCTGATATTGGTTACTTATGTTAATTGTTATTGATGAAATTGTGTACATGTACATGTATATGACTGTTATATATTTCCCATCTCATGTCAATAAACATTGATTTTATAATAAAATTGTAATCTATTCCCTTGTCCTTATTTTCTAAAATATGGTTTATTAATATCCCCCCTTACAATGGTAGTAAACGATCATCCGTGTTTGTTCTACCATCCCTCTGCAACAGCTGTGCAATGCCACAAACTTCTCTATTTCTATCCGCTACCTTGAAGATAGGGTTCGGGCTTAACATATGACTGCAAAAACCCATACGAAACTACGTATGGTTCTTACATGGGAATACCACAGTTCTAAAAACCATACGTTGTTTCGTTACGAAAATTCGTATGCGTCCAAATAGAGCAGATAGATTTTCAATGGTTACTTACATTACTGGTGACATAAAGGGTGAATTTGATCTCTAACTCGAATCGTCTACAGACAAAACATAGTTGTCATTGCAGTTAAACATATCCTACTTTCTGGAAAATCAGATCAAGGCACCTGAGCATTCGGAATCTTCTATCATTTCAGATCGTAGTCGCCACCAGTCGGTTAATTAATTTGTCGATATTTCGACGGCAGTGGACCCCCTGAGATGCTGTGAGCTGAGTTTTTCCAGAAATTTAATGATGGTCCAGGGTGGTTATCTAACAAATAGACACGATAAGACAAATTATTGCTCGAAAATGAATTTTAGTTTGATTCTACCAAATGTACAGGCCTATATGGATGGAACAAATACTTCATTAACAAAATGGAGTTAACGGTCAGGAAGTGCTGGGAATTTTCTGATCAGAAATTTCATCAAATATTACCCGCCCAGTAGGCGAGAGGTTAGATTGTTACATACTAATGAGGTCTATTTGAACAAGGTTGTCATTTTAGTCGATTGCTGATTGTTATTGGTAAACTATTAAACAGATGACAAAGGGTATAACTATTTCTGCATTGTGATGAATATTCCGCTCTAACGGTTTTGTTGTATTTAGTGTCTCTATCCAAAGGGCTTCCAAAGTTTGATGGAATTTCGTAGTTTTATCTTCTGGCAGGTTAATTACTATGCGCTCAATGGGGATTAGGATAGGATCATCTGGTGAATGGTCGTCGATGTGATGTGATAAATGATTAGAAACAGGCTGATCTATATGGGTCGTAAACCGAGTGCTTTAGTTATTTTTCAATTCTCCTACGTATTGTTAGGTAGTATAGGCCTTAAAAACCAATCTACAAGGATTAATCCGAAATATTCCTCTCACTGTTAAAAACCGGAAGTTAAGTTAAATATTTATAATTGCACTGTTTTCTAGGCATACAAGGAAAGTAAGTTCAAAGAAGGAGTGCTCCCTGTGCTGACATTGAGGAAAATCAGAATAATTTTGCAATGATATAGTCATAAACCTGTGTACAAAGGGGACATAAATATCGGTTCATATACTCTACCTTTAACTATACAATCTACATAGAACTCGGTTTACTGGTGCGTGAAATTGAATCTATCGAAGGGAACAAGATGTGTTTTTTCGTCCGGTCGAGTGTTCATAAATATTTATTTGCAGTAAAAACTTTTTTTTAAAGAGTTTTTAAAAATGTTTTTCTAAATTTTTCGCAAAAATGCGATAATCTCTTCGCAATTAGTAGGCCTAACGTCATTAAACGCTAAGTTTTAGTGGGATGGAAGCTTTGATACTCTTTGGATGGAAGGCACCACAATCGTAGGTCTATGATAGAAAATTGGAATGGGGCAAATAGATGCTATCAGTGTCCCCAATAAACATAAACGATTTACAAAACCTCTTAAAAATCCCTTTAACATCATCAAAACCATGGTTACATGAAATGAAAATATCGATGACAAAAAAGTGAAATTTGTCTATATAAAGGAGACCGGGTAAGTTCGGCTATGGGGCAAGTCCGACATTCGTTGATAACTTGCGTCTAAAATTAGTTACTACCACCAACACCTGACGGTCGTTTTCACCCCAAAAAAAAACGGGTCAACGTTCACTAGCCTTGATTTAATGACCGATGGGGCAAGTCCGGTTATTTTGATAGTTCGGCCACTTTGACTTTTTGACATCTACGATGAATTACTCTTAGACCACTTACAATACGTTCACATAGTAGATGAGAGAGAGTGACTTCAAGGTCTTTCTTTCTGACATGTTTCCAGAGAGATTAAATCATAAGTTTTTCACACACAGCGAATTTTCCGAAAAGTGGCCGAACTAGTCCAGGTCTGCCCTATCTATATAAATGGAGTATCATAAAATATTTTGAATTATTACTTAGTTTTGTGGATTAGAGGGATTCTGTCGTATAGTTTTGATTTTTTGGCCATCCTTAGAAATAGTAGATCTATACCTTTCTTTTGGACGTGTGCCGAAGCCTAGAGTAAACTTTTATAAATTATGAACACATGGTTAACTATGATGCTCATAGTAATTTACCTTATCATTAATAATCCCTTTAAAATGGTTGTACGCTATTCACGGAAGAGTTTGTGGTCTGGAACTATTTTGTCGATTTATCGGAGTTAACACCCCTGAATGTAGATGGCGACAGGTGCTTGTTGACAAAATCAAGAATTATGTCAAAATGTAAAAGGATGGGAGTCTTGTAGTCCTACTTATTTCAATCATATCCTGTTTTCTTGAATATAACATTGTTGAATTAGTTAATGGGGGATAAAGACAGGTACTTCACCCTTTTTCAATTCGATTTTATTTTCCATTTTTAATCAAAATCGGTTTCATGAATGACCTGATCAGAATAACACTGACCGACAAGGACTTGTTTATTATTATCATTCTTCTAAAAGCAAATACTCTATACAATGAATAACGCTAGACGACAATGGATGATATATAAAATATGTCATTGATATCAAATGGTAGAATGTTGACAATATTAGTCCAAGTTGTGATCACCGTTTGAATTCTAATAGCCTAGTCCTAGTAGGTATAACTTGTTCATTCAATCTTCAATGAAACCTGTCATGGAGCTGAAGAAGTTCCAAGACAAATGAAATAGACTACATTGGAAAGTAATATTTTGAATTTTTTTTAAATTGAAGAGCAGATTTTATTCAGAACTAACTGTGTGATCTTAGAAAATTAATGAATGATCTGTTTTTAAACCACTTTTGTTTTGTCTTACAGTGGAGCAATGAGGAGCTGGTATAATATTATCAAACTTTTTGTTTCAATCTTTCCATTTAGTTTTTCTACAGTTCTCCCATGTAAGTATGATAACGTTTGTGATTTAATAGAAACTATCTGCTGTTTTGCACTGAAACATAAAAGCTATATCATTAAGTGATGTGGATGTCCATAGCTCAACACCTGTTTTAAGGTGAATTACGCCAGATAGATTGATGCCAGGTTTGATTAAATTTCATATTCACCTTGTTTCAGATGGCATGGATGACTCCAAATATTGCTCAAAAGACAGTAGAAGATTGATATGGATAGAGGAAGGAAAGGGGGTGATTATAATTGGTAAAAGTACCCCACCTGCTTCTTCCATGGCTGCTGCAGTGTGTAATCTAATATTTGGTTCCAAATCGGACACTAAAAACTCCTTATTGGTTAAATTTGAAAGTTTTTATATCAATGACTGTGGTATTAGTTTAACGTTGAAACAGTCACCTTCCAGTGTTTTTGATCAAGATGTTGAACAATTGGTAAGTACCAGTTCCCATTATAGCATATGAAGACTGGTGACTAAAAATTTGAGAATTTCAAGGTCCTCGTTGTAGGCTGTAGTCAACAAATTACAATTTGTCATGGTATATATCACAATCAGATTTTGGTTTTTATATGCCCACTTTATAATGTGCTCTTACATTGTTGTATATTGTTGTTGTCCTGTTCGTTGGTCAATCAGTCCACATTTGGCTTATGGCTAAACAATATCTTGGACAAGTTAGATTTTGGGTACGAATTGACACAGATTGGCGACCACCCTTGTTATACTGAAAATTTATTATGGAAGTGGGCATATCTTGCAAGGCAACCACTTTCAGTCACACTTCTGGTGATGATTTGTACAAAATGTTCTGTTACTTTTTAATTAAATGTTTAGCAGAGAAAGGGCAGTATGCAGCACTCTTACCTTGACTATAGTTAAACTTTGGCTAAAGTCGAACTTTATAAAGATAGGATTAAGGCTTTCATTTTCTACATTTGATAGTCAAATTTAAGCACGACTTTCGTTAAGATCGACCGGTGCATACCTAAAGTTCGACTTAAGTCTAACTTTAGTCAAAGTACGAGCGCTGCATATGGCCCATAGAGTTTTATTAGAAAGTAAAGCAAAAATCTAGATGACAATATTCCTGATACTAATTTGAAAAAGGGTGCTATTAATATTTTGGATTTTTATTCCAATGTTCAAACATCATTTCTGTTTCAGGCTAGTTTATCATGTGAAATGCCGACACCACCACCCTTCTACTCAAGTAAAAATAGATTTGTCATGTTTAGTTTAGAGAGAGAAGATAAATATATGAGAAATTATAATTTTAGGATCAATATCACAATCACAGGTATGCTGAAGGTTCAAACAAATATTTATTAGTCAACTTTCAGAAATTGACTTAACAAGTGCTTTGTCTACAATAATTTTGAATTCTGTTTGAAATTGTATAAATTTAGATATTTAAATTTCATCTAATATTTGTTTTGATATAATGTATTGCCTGTTACCAAAGTAAATAATGTTTTCTTTTTCAGAAGGGGCACCACGCTCTGGGCCCTCAACAGCAGTTATAATATTAATAGCAGTAGGGCTTCTATCAGCAATAGTAGTCATCTCTATATTATTAGTTAAACATATTAAATTAAAACGTGTTGGGAGGGAGAGACGAGCAGAACGTGCACTAGAAAGGGCAATACATGTTTATAATTCCCAAGAATTACATCGTGGTGTGCCATATACCACAGTTCCCTCACATCGTACTTGTCCTACACATGAAAGGTTACAATATGGCTCGAACAATTCTAGTAGTAAGTATTATTAGGTATATTTTAACCACCTAGAGAGAAACTTTGATTGAGGAATAAAGCATCTCTTAATAAACTGATTGTTGGTCAAAACAATATAATTATCTGTCCAAGAACTTCAAATTTACCAGGGATCCCAGACTTTCTTTATTAGAGGAATTACTCTAGTTTCCAGGCCTGTGGTTTTTTGTTATTTTCAAATAAAACCACTAAAGTTTGGTTTGAGGGATGAAAAGATTTCTATGTAGGAAATAGCTTCCTAAGCATCGTTAAATGGTAAAATCTCCCCCTGTATCCCTCATCAGATCCTGTGACCCTCATCAGATTCTGTGACCTCTTTGACCCTTATCTAATATTTTTATATGACCACATTACTTGACTTAGTAAAAACGCATCATATTTGGCTTGTAGGCAGGATAGAGACTACAGTTTTTATCTTGATGAAACTTGGCATGCATGTATGTATTGATGAGATCTCAGTCAATAATTGGATGAAAGGTTTCAGAGATTTTGCTGTTGTGTGTTGGACCATGTTCATGTTTGAATCTGATTTGGATGGATCAAAAAAATTGTAGAATTACTCAGCATAAATAACTGGTATATATATATATGTAATTGAATTCAAACTAATAAAATTTCTTCAATATGAGAAAATTCGTAATTTAGTCACTAAAGACTGTTTTATCATTTCTGAGAGCTGCCAGTGGGCAAGCTATCTTTATTACTTGAATCTATGGAAAAAAGGATGAAGTAAAATCTCATTTAAAACTGTATTTTGATTCAATGATGCTTTTTGGAAAAAAAATATGGATAAATTTTTCAATTTGGTTTATTTGGAAATTTTTATGTGCAATGATCTATATTTCAGATGGACATAATCATAATTTATTAATAGTACAGAACCATTCGCGGAGTAATTCACGGACCAACTCGGATATAAACTGTAGTGAAACAGATATACATAGACCATCATTAAATACTTCAGAGGAAAACAGACTAAATGAATCAAATTGTGAATTTGATACTGAATCACTTCCACCTTCTTACGAGGAAGCATTAGAAATGCCAAAGCCTTCATTACCTGAATCCCCATTGTATGCCAATATGTAGATTTTAGACAGATAGAGTGATGTACAGTGTATTGTACTAGAACTCAAATTGGAAACCTAAATCAATTAAGTATGTGTGTGTTTCAGTTTACTGTCAAGCTTGTGTTTCGGTTTACTGACAAATGTGTATTACAGGCTACTGTCAAGTGATTGTTGCAGGTTACTGTCAAACGTATGTCACGTGAATGTCGCAAGTTACTGTCAAGCATGCGTCGCAGTTGACTGAGTGAATGTTGCAGGTTATTGTCAAGATTGCATTGCGGATTTACTGTCAAGTGAATGTTGCAGGTAACTGTCAAGTGTGTGTTACAGGTTACTGTCAAGTGAATGTTGCAGGTAACTGTCAAATGTGTGTTACAGGTTACTGTCAAGTGAATGTTGCAGGTAACTGTCAAATGTGTGTTACAGGTTACTGTCAGGTGGATGTTGCAGGCAACTGTCAAATGTGTGTTACTGGTTACTGTCAAGCATATGTCACAGTTGACTGTCAAGCGTGTGTCGCAGATTTACTGACAAGCAGTTGACTGAAGAGTGTTTTGCTGTTAGCGTGTGTTGCAGTGAAATGTCAAGCATATGTCACAGTTGACTGTCAAACGTGTGTTGCAGATTTACTGTCAAGCAGTTGACTGAAGTGTGTGTCCCAGTTGACTGTAAGTGTGTGTTGCAGATTTCTATCAAGTCTGTGTTGCAGTTGACTGCCAAGTATATGTCACAGTTTACTGTCAAATGTGTGGGAAAGTATTTCAGTCAATATTATGTTTGTGTGCTTTTTAAAAGAATTCTTCCATTATCCTACTCATTGTATTTCTGGTTGGCGTTTTTTCTAATTATACTTATTTCCTTCACCCTATCTTTTGGCCTATTTTTATATTGATGGAATATATATGTAAACTGTAGGATATTATTGAAAGCTGTTTTTCAATAATGAATGTTATTTTTTGGCACAGTGATGCAATCGAATTTATTTATTTATGTGAATGGTATTTATGGAAGCTGAAATAGTTTATTTAAGCTAAGGAAAGGTTATGGCTGTTTATTAGTGACAGTATTAAGAGAAATAACTTTATTTTGCACATTTTAGGACATTACCATTGATATAATGGTATTGGATGCAACAATCCCATGAGCACAATTCATATTTGAGTATGATAATATTTGGTCTGATTATTAAAAAATCCATGTAATATAACAAAATACTTATGTTGTATTTTTTGTGGCCATGATTCTTGATGCAGTTGGTCAGTTGGCAAACCTCATGTAAACTATGTAAGATATTGATGGGAAAAGTCCTCATTAAACTCTGAAATTGAAACATTCTTACAAGTATGAATATTAAAATTTGAAAACTTGCAATGGAAGTTGAGGACTGGGATATAAGGAATGTTAACAACAGATATAATATTTAATGAGGGTTAGTGGGAAAATTAAAAATTAAATTGCAATGAAAATTATATAGGTAGTGGATAGATATCAATGAAAGAGTACAAGTTTATATAAATAATATACTCTCTGGTGTTGCCAGCCTATACAACATGTACAAACTATGTAAATTATTTATGACTTACGTGCAATTAATAATATTTCGACATTTTATCTTTTAAATGTAAATATGATGTGGCCTTCTATAAATATTTCTCTCCTGTCTGTTCCCAATGTTTTACACTTTTACATGTACAGCATACATGTAAGTTTTTTTGGTTGTACTATTTTATTTTCTACATTCAAGAGCTTGTTAGCTCATGTGGAACGCACACATACGAAAATATTTAACAAGCAAGCCATGAAACATGTTTCACGCTGTGCGATCTTCAGACAACTGACGTATATTAGCATACGTCCCTACTGATGTTTGACAACTAGCGACAATCAATGATAAAATTTATTTTAGCTTCGATAACATTGTCAACTTTGCTCAATCACAATTTTATAGTGCTTTGTAATATGAAGCTTACATGTAATAGTAGTAATACAAGTGAAAACCAAATTCATCAAAGTATAGGGCATTGATGTCAACCACAATCATGATTACATTTTATGTTTAGAATATAAGCAGATCTTACATATTTTAGGGGAAAATATGTGAAAATGCTACTCAATTTTTTAATCAGAATTTTATAGAACTTTTTAATGTCTATCATGAACTCTGCTTTAATTTGCACTATTCCAATTTTCAATCAGACGTCTGTGGTTCCAGCAATTCCACTAAAACTAAGTGTCACTAATCATGAAGGGCCTTAAAGCATATTTTGCAATTAGTAAGGACATCAAACACTTAGTTTCAGTGGCATTGCAGGAACCAAAGATCCTGATTAAAATGGGAAGAAGGCAAATTGATGCTAGTGTGCTCAATGCACATAAAAAATTTAGAAAAAACACTTTACAATCCCTTTAAAATCATTTAGTGTGAAGTGCCAGTGAGATGTAACAAAATATTTCAACCATATCATAACTCCTGAATAACATTGTGTATTATGCGTCTCATTCAAAATTTTAATTTCATTTTTTGTATTTGATTTTTGTTGTGATGATATTCATAATAATCGTTTTTTTTTTCAAATTTTATTTGAAAATGGAATTGTGCTGTCATATATTTTAATATTTTTTGTTTTTGGATTAAAAGATATGAAATTGTTACTGTTTTATGAATTAATTGTAACTAATGAATTTATATTGAGGTAGTGCAATAGGTGTACAAGAGTTTCTCAAATTCTCCCTCCAAGATAAGAATTGACCATCATTTTGCATTTTTAAGAGAAAATCAAATGTCCTATCCATAGGTGAATTCTAAGTCCCCATTTTTTTTACTTGAGCTAAAGTAAATAGTACTAGAAATGTAAGAAATAATTAATTCCTTCAAAAATATTTCAAACTAGGAATTTATTTTCCTATTTCTATAGATGTCTTTTCTTTATGGCAGTGTCTCGAGAAAAGACGACTCACCTTTTTAATTTTCATACATACATGGGTTTGAGGACTCAAATCTCGATACTGATTGGTTTACTATAAAATTCCCGTTTCTCAGACAAAGGTGATAAAACGAAAAATGGCGCATCTGCTCCCAGCTATTACTATTAATGTATTAGTTCAGTACTCTAAATGAAATTTAGTAATGAGCTTTAAAGTAAGAACACACGACATAATAGAAATGTATGATTATTTTGCCAGAAGAACAACTATGAGGACATAATCAGTATCAGATGAGTTTAAATCATAGGGATGAGAAATAACATCAGATGCTTTTTGCGTCTATCTGCTAATGCGGAAATATTTGTTAAGAGAACAATAACTGTTGTCTAGTGCTATGAATTAGGGTGGCCTCCCTTGTATTTGGATAGTCTTCATTGTCACTTAAACAAGATTAGTGGACTAACAAAATACTGGTTAATCTAACCTGACCTAAAATGTCGAAATAAACAAATCTCTGGAAAAGTTTGCGGATATTACTGCTTTATGTTGTAATTTACGTTCTACAGATGACATTTGTCGAATCTTGAAGATGTCTTCCATGGTTTGTATCCTTACTTAGATTTGGTATCGTACTGAAATATTGTAAAATAAAACATTTATCAATAATATACTCGAGCTACTATCATCTGTTTTTATAACACTAAAACTAAGTCAATGATGATACATGGAGAAAGGGTCTTTAACTCTTTATTCATTCTCAAAAAAAAAGTTTGTTCGTCCAGCCTTCATTACTAGTCCAAAACATCTGACTCTATCCCTGCCTCTTGATACCTATTTTGACATTTATCGGCTGGTGTGGAGTAAGAAAATTTAGGCCTAGTTTTATAGGGTTTCCCCACTACAAAGGTGCGTTTTTTAAAACATAAGTCAGATTACCTTTAGGATGGCTGTTAATTAGTATTTGGCATCACCGTTGCATCACCTTTAATTTGTTTGCTCATGCAGTCTCATATGACAGACGAGAGATTCATTTTGATAAAAAAAAACTTTGATTGAATCACAGATGTGACATAAATGGTACAGGGGGATAATGATGGTATGAATATATCTGGGTATTTGCTGATCTGATTTATATAAATAGGTTTAAAAAACTCGCACCTTTGGAGGTGTGTAAAAACTCATAATTGAGCGGCCAATGTTAAATGTCAGGAAAAAAATTCTCTGGAAAAACAAAGAACTAACCCATCCTGTTATAGAAATTAAAAGAAAATGTCTTGCATTTTTGAGGTAGGCTTATGGCCTATAGAGCATGTTTATACTTTCAGAAATATTCAAAACAGATGCATAGAAATATATTTTATTTGGTATTAATCCAAGTCTTTCAACTGGTACAGTCTGCTGCTATATCAGGTAAAATTATTATATCATTGATACACTGATATCATTGATATACATGAATCATTTGTGGTTTTACAGCTGTAAGTAAAAAGCTCCAACTTATTGTCATCAGGAAATTTTGTGTCAAATCTGATAAGCAGCCTAATTAGACCAAACGTTCATTCCATTATTTTTTATTAGTTATTTAATATAGCCACTTCAGTTAAGGCCTTGAACATGTGTCAAATTAACCTTTTGAACTTGATGACCTCTGCTTTAACCAATCAAATTTCTACCTTCTCAAGCGCTGAGATTTTGTGACATGGTGTTTACCAGGTTAGGTCAAAAGGTAAATTGGAGAAATGGTCAAGATGGCTGTTGTTAGACCCTAACTGAAGTGGCTATATCAGATATGAAACATAATGAAAGATTTGTCACATTTCGATCAGACTGATTTGATAAGAGTCTTGCCAAATATTTTTATTAAGATGCCCATTTGGAGAATAATGCCTTTGGTTTTATGTATTCTATATGGCTGGGAAAACAAACACAAAGATCACAGCCTAAAACCATTTTACAGATAGAACTTACAGAAATTATTTTAATAGATTATAGATATTCATGTGTTGTGTATTTCAGAAAATGTAGAGTCAGAGTTGATGTCTGATAGCCAACTGGTTGTATTAGGAATACTATCTGTTGTTGTTATTGTTTGTGTTAGTGTTTATATAATATTTACATGTGGGGACTGTTATAACTCTGAAGTGAGCAGTGAAAATCATCCAGCTTGTGCATCAGGTTCTCATTCAGGTGCTCATAAATGGGGAGGAAGTGATATGGGGTATGCCTCCAATACATACGGACAGGCTATTGACATTAATAACCAAGCCCCTGCATACTCTATGATACCTGTACAAGTAAATGATGACCCTGGTTTTCAAGGATATTCTACAGGTTCTGCGAGTGGACCAGGAGCACATTATAATCCAGTACAAGACTCTCAGGAACCACCACCAGCCTACAGTGATATCAGATAGGCTGGAAAATGACTTTGCCTTATGTTCTCTCTCTAATAAACATTGTCACCATGATGTTAATGCACCCCTTGGATGTTTCAAAGATATGAAATTTGTGGTGTGGTGTGGTGTGGTTATTGAAGCTTTGATTAATAGAAATATTAAAACAGAACCTGAAACATGTTGTCACTTAGTTTCCCTTTCAAGCTGTGTGATCTTCGAGTTGTTTGAAGACTGTGAGTAATAACATGTTTAAGGTTCTGTTTTAATATTTCTATATCGTTCTATTATTTAAGTATTGACCACTAGTGAAAATATTTTATTATTGCTTTGACTAATAGATATTAATAATCCTTAAGCAAGATTTAGGGGTATAAATTCCAAATAAAAGTTAAAGTGCCATAGAACAATAATGGTATTCTCAGTGGTAGCACACAACGTCTCAACGATTTACATATTGATAATTTAGGTAAAAGTGAAAATTGTGTTCCATTATTTAATAATTGGATGATGTAATGTGTAAGCTATCCTTTAACATTTTATCTTTGAAATAACTGAGTTGCTGGATATATACAAGCATTGTTTAGGAATTTATCTATATGAGAACTTCTTTTTGCTCTGGCTAATTTTGATGTGAAATATATGCATAATATGACTAATCACAGGGCAGCACCTTTATCCTGTATGCTTTAAACCATGTGTTATTTGTAAGTTATGGTTGTGACAAAATCTCAATGAAATATATCATGTACCATGTTTTTTAAAACACTATAAAAAACTGCATTGTCAAGCATAGGATAAGTATTATGCAGTATAACATATATTTTCAAATTTAGGTTGAATGAATATAAAAATGATAATAACATAGTGTATAGTATTATAGCACAAAAGCTTTTTTAGGGCAATATATTCTTTGTATATCAATTTTACCATGTATTAGTGGTCTGTAATTTGTTTGAAATTCAGAAGGTAAATGAAAAATTGAGAATTGGTACCCAAAAAGTTGGAATTTCTTATTATGTACTTCAAGACACTTAAATGTCGTCTTTTACCAATGACACTACCTCTTAGGATAACAAAAAAAAATTTACACTTTTGAATTTGGCTAAGACAACATGCCAGGCAAGGTAATATACGCCCACTGTCAGCTTTGATTTTAATATTCAACTTTGAGTCATACACTTCTTTCGAACATTTCACAAGGGCATACAAACAAAAAGTCTTGAATTTTTATCATCTCTTGGCTCGGCTGGTGTCTTAATGATACCACAGAACTGCTCTGAACTGTGCTGGATAAACAGTAGAAAATAGTAGAAGTGAACTGGTCCGGACAGGTTGCGGATACGATTCACTTTTATTTTCTACTGTATCGAGAATCCTGCATCAAACACCGCACTGGCGGCTTAATTATCCTTAAACTTACATGTAAGTATTGAAAAATGATAAATATTTTTAAGGCTTTTCAGTTATCACTTAGTTAATGGATTTGTCATCCTATACAGAGATTCTGTTGTTAAGTTATGACACCTGACATGTTCACTGATGAATATACTCTTATTAGTCAAGATTGAAACTTGAAATGTTATGTTCATTCTAAGAGGTATTTATATTTTGTTAGGACTATTTATATTCTGCAAGTAGTGTTTTTCATTGTTTCCTCATCCATATTGTACATACTATGAATCTTCTTTTACCTTACTGTGATAATATTTTTATAATAAAGTTCTTTTTTATGGTTTTAACTTTAAAATTTCTATGGATGTTGAAGGTATATTCTGTTCAGCAATATTTGGAAGGGGGAAATTTTTGGGTGTTCGAAGAATTTTCTAATACAATATGCCATGTATAAATCAAAATCAGAAACAAAATTTGATTAAGTCTTATAATATTTGGTTTTAAGGAACAATAGCAAGATATTTGTTTTCTAAAATTGCATTGTGGTCGATATAATGAAAAAGTGACGTATTATGAGGGTAGCAAATTAATTTAATTCAGTTTAGATAATTTGACAACTTATAAATCAATCAGCAACTGTTCGTTAAAGTTGGTTTGGGCCAAAAATCCAGGGTCAGACCCAAGCTTTCTTACTGTGTCAAATATTTCATCTCACCAGTTCAGTCAAGGGCTCTGATTGGCTATATTTGCTATTGCACAATCCAATCATGTTTTTGTATTTACAAACTGCTTTGATACATAAATAGTGGCTATTGCAGTCAATATATTAGTCACAGTTCGTAACAACTTGACATTGTGAAGATGAGGCTAAATAAGCTACAGACTGAGCCACATTCTGTTTGGTCAGGCATGAATTGATCTAGTTGTATCTCATGATGTTGACCAATACTGTTGGAACCGGAGTTCTAGGCATGTTGCAGAGCACTAGACTAAATTTCACAGAGGCTGTGTGTCTTGTTGTTTGTACAGATTTTTTTTTTGTTTCAATAAGAGTTAGCTTAATAATAGATATTTATTTCATTATACAAATCTTCTGTATAATTTTTACATATAATATTTACAATCAATATATTCAAATAATTAACATACACTCTGTGAAACATACAATTTTTGTATTTGATCATGTGTTATATTTTAAAGGGATTGGGTTGTATAATTTTTGTGTTATCAGTTCAGTCAATACATCCATTCAGTATAATCATGTATCTATAAATATAATATATTATATTATAAAAGAAATATTAAAACAGAACTTGAATCATGTTGTTGTCTGAAGATGAATAACATGTTTTTTTTTTAGGCTCTGATTTAATATTTCTATATGGCTCTACAATTTATGTTTTAATCACTTCTAAACAGTGAAAATATTTTGTTATCGTATATCATAATATATATATTGATTTCCCCAGTGTTTAGAGAACATAATAGGCGTTGGGCATATTTCTTCATATTTGTTTAACTAAAGATTATTTAGGCACTACCAGGTCTCATATGTCTTGTGAAAAATTTAGGTTGGTATGTTTTTACACCAAAAGACTTACCAGTTCTAGATTGCTGGTTCTCAGTATTGAGTTAAGCCAATCAGGGTAAACTACAGATCTAATTTTTATGTTTCATGTTTTATCTACCGTTACTCCACTTGCAATCCATATGTGACAAATTTTTTTCTAATTCTGACATTTAAAGCTAACCAATCGTTTGACAATGTACTCTAATCTTTAACAAAGAAAATCCCAAATTTCTAATATATGTTATCCACGTACATTACAATTTTTTATCAGATCACAGATGACTTACGTTACAATCAAACTGGAATATAACCAAATTGCATTATGCTCAGATAAACTGAATGTAGCCTACAAATTGTTTTGACAGATTCAAATGCAATCCTACAACTCCTAAAAGTTGACCAGCTGATAAATATTCAACCTTAAGCAGGAAACCTGAAAGTTGAAAAAAAATATTCTTTTCTAAAACTACTCAAAACTTATTACACTAAAATGTTCCAAATATGTTACACAAGATTTATTAGCAAAACTTGAACGGTTCCAAAAAGTTTATTTTAAGTTTTTTTACTTTCTTAATTCAGAAATGGATTGAAAGCTCTTGAAAATCCTATATACAGTTAAATGTTTTGAATGAAGATCATAAAATAATAAATAACATTTGTATATACCATATTACAAGGAAATAAATTAAATATAGCACTTTCAATATAAAATATACAAATAAAATACATATCAACCTTTCAATATAACATGACAGACATTCATATTTTACACAAACATAAATATTGATCTGGTATTTACATTTCACTTCTAAATGCATTTTTTCTTTCTAATTTCCAAACAGTGCAAAATACTGTGTCATATGGAGTTCACACTGAAAGTGATTTTAAACCGAAAGCAATCCCCGAAATTCCCTTTTGATATAGCCCATTCAATTTGGTAGCGTCACACTACACTCTGAAGCGATGAGATGCGGTACAAAACGCGTCACACTGACAGCGCTATAACCCAGTATAATCCAAATTGCCCATAACAACTAATCCCTTAAACTTCTTACAGAAGGTGAAGGTCATTCATTCCAAGATGGATGTATCCGTGAATCAAAATGATCAAGAGATTATACTGTGATTGCAGGATTTTTCAATGTTGTAAGATACAAAAGAAAAGTTATAGGAAAAGTTATAAAGATTTAGAATTCAATGCATGTGGATATAAAGTTGTATAATTGCTGTTTAATCATTCCTAAAATACACCATTTATTTTTGACTGACTTAAAGATGGGTTCCCTTATTTTCATTTATGAAAAAAAAAATGTTAATACTTATACGAATAGGAAGTAGAGGTGTTCATAATTAGGTAAATTAGATGAGAATTACCAACCGAATTCCAATAAGTGACCAATCAAGAAATGTCAAAAAGTCTTTTTTTTGTTTATCCAGACTGTACATACATGGACTCTCAATAATATGCAATAAGAACATAATGATATGAATAATACATGATAAACTTTGAAATAACAATCAAATAGTTTGCTTAATTTGACACTAAAAAATAATGGAACCCATCTTTAAAGCTTTGAAAATTCAGTCATGTAATTATTCATGCTATCAAATCACAAAATAAATACTACTGGGACTAATCATCATCTTCAATACAAATAACTTCAACAACCTCGTTCGTATCACTATCAACATTCTTTTCTACCACATATTCAGCCATTTTGCTCACCGACAAAGATTTGCAAGAAGCCACATTGGAAAGAGATAAATTAGGTGGAATATTAGTCAGATATTCGTTAGGTTTTATTCCTGTAGGATAAGCTACTTGACTTTCAGTACCTCCAGTCAACGATCCAATTTGACCAATTTGTATGTTTAAATTAGCCGACACTGCTGAATGACTCACTGCACTGCCACTCGAACTGACACTGGATATGCTATACACAGAGGAAATGGCCAATGACCCACTAGCAGATGGTTTTGGCGCGATATTTCTTTGGGAGAAAGCATTCTGATTTAAGGGTTGTAATAAATTCTTTTGAAGATGAGGGTAAGCATTTGGATTCAAGACATTGGGTGAATCAGGTCTGATACTGTTTGATCGAACCAGACTATTTCCTGGTTGATGATTTGAGCCCTGTTTGGACGAGAGAGGACCTGGTCTAGAGGTCTTGAAATCTCTTTTGGACGATAAAGGACCAGGTCGCGAATAATTTGAAGTTTTTGACGATAGTGGACCAGGTCGATTTAAAGATCGACTAAATATTTTTGGGTCACTGAAATCCAAGGCTGGAATATTTTCTGACATATCTGAGGATAAATGATGTTTTAAAATGGAATTGTCAAGAATGTTACTATTTGCTCCATTCAAATTGGACCTTGAATTAGAAACTCCATAATTGAATGGAAAACACCTATTTGAGTCTGAGCTACCATTTTGGAGAGAATCCACAAGACTGAGATCAGTGCGTAATTGTGAAAAGTTTTGTTTTCGTCTGTTTGCAGGTCCCATATCACTTCTAGACTGCATACAACTGTTGGAGTATGGAAAAATATTACGATTTTGTCCTGCCAAAGGCAAAAATAATAACTCGGAGGATCTCTGGTCTTTTTTAACCAGAAATTGTGGACGAGGTTCTTGGCGCCAAAGCTGGTTTGATGGACCAGCACGATGATTTAAATAATGATTATTTGATACATTGTGACCGCCAAAAAATGAAGAGCTGCTACCAGGAGCAGGTTCAATTTCAACAATACTGATGTCATCATCAATCCAAATTGGTTTTGGTTTGGGCTTTCTCCATTCTTCAATCACGGAAGGTTTGACACGATATAAAACAACAGACACCCTTTTCATAAGTCGCTTTAATCTACGTCCTTCTTTATTGAGTCCAGTTTTTGCAATACGCATGAATTCACGCCGCTCACTAGCATTGAATTTGTATTCATGGCATCGCCTATGTCTAATACTTCCTTTTTTCTTGAATCTAAAAGTAACTGGATAATCAGATTGTCGATGTCTCAATTTTTCAATCATGTCATTTTTGATCCAAGTAGTAGTACAATAAGTTTCTGGATTTTTTATAATATTTGAGACGTCTGCTTTCACATGTCTTCGAATTCGCTGTCCAAGATAGGATGAGAAATCTATTCCAAGTAATGAACCTTGGATGCTGGTCTTTCGTAAATAAATTCCACTATCATGTAATTCAGAGTCACTGAGTCGATCAACACTTTCAGATAGAGAAAATAACCGTTTCCTAGCACTTCCTTCAACATCTCTTGACAACTGTGACATCAGAGAGTGAGGCGTACGGGGTGACGTCATAGGCACATTGTCACATTCATCCAGACCCTCAACTCCAATTATCTCACAATCTACGTCAGCAACATCTTTATGCTCAGTTTCGTTTTGTATCGAGATAGCTTTGGCATTTGGAACCAGACCTAAATAATTCAGAAAGGGTTCCTTTCCACTTTTCTCAATTTTTAAACGACTCAAATTTTTTGATAATTGAGCTGTTTTTTTTCTTCGAGCCAGAATCTCACTTTGTGATGAGCATGTACTTGAGTCAGAGTCGGAGAGTTCAATACAAACTGAAATAGGGCTAAAATCAGCTCCATATTTACTGCATGTTGGTTGAGAAATACTGGATGTTGCTATATCTGAAATTCGAAAAAAATAAATTGTATAAGTGGATTTCTGCATTGATATGAAATGATTAAATTCTACTAAGACAATTTAAAGGGGAACAGTCAGTATATCCAGTGATTGATTTGGATCCTTATTGTGCTTCAAATAGTCTTATGAAGTACTAAAACACACGAAAATCACATATTCCCTTCATATATATACCTCAAACTCGAAATTTCACTGTCTATTCCTATATATGTGTTTTTATACACCCACATTATAATTTGGCTATCTTTCGATGAACAGTTTTTTACCTTGATTTATGAAAAACACATCAAAATTTATTTGACAACAAGAGACTACAATTTTCCTCTGATTTAAATGAAATTTTGCTATGATCATTTATAATGAGATCTTAGTCAAGATTGAATTAGACAATTTTTCGATCAAAGGAATTGATTGCATCAACATTTTTTGGCTTGTTAACGCGATAGAGGTGACAGTTTTATGTCAGAATTTTATTAAATAATGTGTGTTTGTTTAAATCAACAACATCTTGCACAAATTAGATTTTTGGTATGATTTGAAACAGAAAGATGATTGCCCTTGATATATGGAAAATGTATCAGGAAAGTGGGCGTATCTGTCTAGGCAACCACTTGTCTATATATGGCATAGTCTCACTAAAATTTGAGTCATATTTTTAACTTTCAAATGTGAAAAATTATGCATACTAATGGATTTGAAGGCTTAAATTTCGACGGTGAGCTGTGAACACTATTACTGATTATGTATACAAGCTAACAAAATTCCTGTTTCTGTAACTAAGGTATGATTGGTCGAACAGATAGTGAAGGTGCTGCTTTAAGCTTAAAGATACCATGATATGATAGACAACATCATACAGTAGAAGTGAGTAGGGCTTTGTAAAATGATCGAAGTAATCGATTAATTAAAGTTCATAATCGATTATATGTCAAAGTAGCATTTTCTCCACTGTACCCGTTAACAAGTAGTAATCTCTTTCACATAGGTTCCTTTCAGCACATAATTTACCCACAGTAAGAATATTCTTCTATGACACAGAAATAAACCATGAAATTAAGACATTTGGCATGTTTTTAATGTAGTATTTACAGGGTTTCTCGATTAAATTATTTGGATTATTAATCGATTATTGATCGGTAGTCTGTCATCGATAATCTCAATTTTGTAATCGATATCCAGCCCTAGAAGTGAGTGCTTCCATATCAGTCCCTTGCTCTAATTAGATGACTAGAGATCCTGAACTTCATCTTTTTATCAGTAAAAGAAAGAAAATGATATATTCATATAAAGATTTATTAGCTGCTACTTATGTAATGCCAATATATTGTATTGGATTTCAGGTTAAGTTTTGGGGTTCCCATTGTTAGTACATGGATTTTATTACATATTTCATATGTTAAGATCACGGTTAACTTAAGCTAGGTTGTCAAGATAAGTTTTCAACTTCATCATGCAAAAGTTATTGAAGGGAATTACTAAGTGTCTTCTGATAACCTTGTACCGTACAATGTTTAATTCAACCTCTAGACATCATCACAGGTCAGAATGTACATCAATTTCTAGATTCTATCTTGAAAGACACTTGTAGGTCTAGAACCTGAAGTGTTTTCACCCCCTGGGGGTGTGGGACTTGGGTGTAAGGGGTGTGGCCAACTGGTGTAGGAGAAGAATTTATTTTGAATTGAGAGAGCACCTCACATATCACATGTTGAAAATGTGGATGATTCAAATTTTTGGAGGTGTGAAAGGTCCGTGTTATTGCTCGAGGGGTGTGAAGGCAGAAATAGTTTGGGAACCACTGGTCTCGCTATTTTGGAAAGTTTGGCATTTAGTTATTTTTGCCTTGTTTGTTTCTGATTACCGCTTGTATCAATAAAGTTTCAATGAGTTCCTTTAAATAAAGCCTACTTACCATCTTGAAGGGATGATTTGGATGCACTTTCATCTATTTCATCCTGTAAATAGTAATACATAAAAGTTAATATTATGATATATGGTCCAAAAAGTTAATATTATGATATATGGTCCTATAAACATTTGCTACTTCAGTTTAAATTTGATCTGAATTTCCCAGACCTGATTAAGCACGTAGGACTATAAAGATAGCTTGCCAGGCAAGGTAATATACGCCCACTGGCAGCTTTGATTTTGAATAAAAATATTGAGCAGTAAAGTAACAATCACCAGTATGAAATATTCAACCTTCAGTCATATACTTCTTTAAACTCTTTAGAGCGATACTGAATAATATTGAGTATGAGTTATTGCCCTTGTTCTTGAAAACGTGTTCAATCTTTAGCTCGTGAAAACTCTAGAAGACAAATATTTAATCTTCAGCGCGGTATTGAATAATAAAACCAACTTTTGTCAAAATCCGGAAAGAATCATGCCTTCTAGAGTTTTTACGAGCTACAAATTGAACGAGTTTTCAAGAACAAGGGCAATAACTCATACTAAATATTTTTCGATTTTTCTGATTTTCAACAGGCTTTATCCTTGATTGATAACAAACACTCAAGCCAAGTTTCGTTAAAATCTGTCAAGAATTGTGCCTTCTAGAGTGTTTACGAGCTAAAAATTGAACGAGTTTTCAAGAACAAGGGCAATAACTCATATTAATTATTTTTCGATCTTTCTGATTTTAAATAGGGTTCATCCTTGGGTGATTACAAACAACCATATCAAGTTTTGTCGAAATCAGTCAAGAATTGTGCCTTGTAGATGTTTACGAGCAATTGTGGACGGACGGACAAATGGACGGACAGGGGTGACGGCAATGTGCGACCCCCCATTTCATGTGGGCGTATAAAAAAATTGGAATCAAATTTCATCATTTTCTCTTGTTACAGCAGTTTTAAACAAAAGGAGGCAAGACTTTGGACTTAAGCAAGGTGTAGATAGAGAATCTTGTGATGGTCATGGCTAATGAGTTAACATTGAAAAGAAAAATTGTAAAGTAACCTCACAAATCACTTTAGACAAAAATCAAAAAATTTCACAAACACTTACCATATCAAACAGATCCTCAAACTTTAAAGGAGATAGTCCTGAGAATTTCTTCTCTTCAATTACAGCCTCCAAAATCATTTTTATTTATTTCTCTATAATAACCATTGCCCATCTTTTAGTTGGTATTCATACAAACATCTGAAAATTAAGAAAAAAAGTAAAATTCACTGCCAAATGCCAAAGCACAAGCTAATATGTAAGTGTATCTAAACAGGACCAATTGACAGTTCTAATATAAAACATGATCACCAGCGTGTTTTTATATTAAACAGGATCAACTAAGTGTTCTCATATATAACTGGATCAACTGAAAGTTCTAATATATAACTGGATCAACCGGAATAACTGAATCAACTGAGAGTTCTAATATATAACTGGATCAACTGAGTGTTCTCACTAAGAGTTCTAATATATAACTGGACCAACTGAAAGTTCAAATATATAACTGGATCAATTGAGTGTTCTCACTAAGAGTTCTAATACATAAATGGAATAATAGAGAGTTCTAATATATAACTGGATCGACTGAGAATTCTAATATATAACTGGATCAACTGAAAACTCCTGTTTCTGAAACGAAGGTACGATTGGTAAAAAAAACGGCTCAAAAAGATTTGTCTATTTATTAAAACACTTGTGCTATATTTTTACCTCCAGAAGTGAAGAGTTGCAGGACCATATACAAAATACAAGGTTCATGCAAAAATAACATTATGTAAGTTTATTATTTAATTCAGCAATTCTCAAATTTGATGTTTTCAATGGTGGCTCAGTAACCAGGTAAATGTATAAAAACTATAAACAGTTCAGATATTATATTGCACATAGTAAACCTAGTTCAACAAGTTGAAATTGTATCAGAATCTCCCTATAATTAAGCAGCTTTTTCATGACATATTGATTAGCTGCTGACTGATAATTTTGGTTAGAAAGTCAACTGGTTATTTTAACGTAAGTCAAAATATAGAAACATTAAAACAATAACAAAAAATTCTCGCTGTTCAGAGTTTCATGCTATGCGATTTTCAGACAACTGACCTATATAATTCAGCCTGTGTCCCTACTGAAGTAACTACTGCAAAACTTATTATCATGTCTACAATTCGAGACAAGTTCAGACAATTGACCTATTTCAACCAATCTAATTAAAATTATGTTAATTACAAATTCGTTTCGTTATGATATTTGAGGGGATTCCATATTATGATTCGATTATCAAAATTGCTATTTTCATAATTACACACTATAAGCTTATATTTTCTTCAAATTGAAATCGCAAAATACATCCACTTCCCTTAAAAATTTCAACCAGTCCAATATTCAGGCGACAAAAATTTCCATAATGACAAGACAATTTCTTACAACTTATTTCATACCAGTACCGGTGTTTCACATTTTAACAGGTTTTCGAAAACAAATTTATGGACTAATGTCAAATAGCAAAAATAACTACAAGATTTTCTTAGGCTAACTATGATTAACTTATGTTAGTACTTTTTCCTCCAAACCTGTATACTGGTACTACATCAATCAATGATTATGTAGGTCACTATGAATCTGATTTTTTCATGTAGAAGTCTTGAAAGTTATAAATATACTCATCAAAACAAGCAACAGTCTATTATAAACAATTCACCTTCCTCAAAAATTGCAAAACACTGTCCTTTGGCTTTGTTGTTTCCTTGCCCTCAAGGTTGTAAGTATAGATGCAAATATACAAGTCAAACACACCAAAATGACCATAAATAAACAAAGTATGCTTCTACAGACAAATTATGGCTGATCTAGGCATGCTAGGCCACGAAAACATGTCGAAATCATGTCACTTCCGGTTGACCTACTTTTGTAGGTAGACAAAATTTTCAAAATTACGACAAATTTCAGTGATATTAAGATCAATTATATACAGCAAGCCAATTGCACAACCAAATGGTACAATTTAGTCACATTTCAATATAATAAATTAAGTTTTATCATTAATAAGACAAACGCAGTACTGAATTCGATCAACATTGATAACAGGAAATGTCATTTGCTAATCGCAGAATCGGGAATTTACGTATTTCCAATGTCTGAACTTAAAATGCATACAATTAAATCAAAATTCGTTAAAAATAATAAATACCGTAATCAACGAATACACGTATGTTATTCTAGTCGCTAAATATATCGCTGACTGAAGAAATACACGAGATCATTCAACAAGCCACCACGAACAACAAACCAAAATGGCGGATATCAAGTTAGGTTTTCAGTGGCCAGATCGTGACGTCACCTGGCGGGATGAAATGCGATGAGCTTTCCAGATATCACTTGATGATAACATTTTTCCGATTTCAGTGCATGTACTTCGAGAAATTGAAACCATTCTACTCCCCATTGTTATCGGAAATCAAACAAAAGACATCTACATCATTATAATGTCAGTATTTGAAGAAATACGTGGTTATTGGGATGGGCGAATATTGGACTGATGAGGACAAAATTTCGCCAGAAACTCTAGGCCCAGGTCTAAAGCCTTTCATGACATGATTAGTAGGCTAACTAAAGTTGATTCTATGGGTACAATTAATAGATTCAAGTCCTGATAATATGAGAGTAAAAAGTGGGTCAAACCAGTTCCGGAGTCAACCTCTTAAGACTGAGGGCAGGCTACACATGTGAATTGTCAAAATGCAGCATGCTCTCTGGAAGCGACATGGGCACAAGCCTTGCATGGCGAGTTTGAGAGTGCTCTGCCTAAAGAAACATTTTGAAAAATAGAATATATAGGCTTATGGTGCATTCTGACACATATTAATACTAGAAATGAAGTGTGCATGAGTATAATTACTAAGGATTCTGTAGCCTACAAACGATTTTTCTACGAGTGAAAATACGAGTGTTTAATAGGATAGTCGACTGTTTTATAGGCTAATTAATTGGATCAAAATATTCTATTAAAACTATCACAATACGAGAAGATAACCACTTTGGCAAGATAACATACGCCCACTGGTAGCCTATTATTAAAGAACGTTATAAGCTTAATAAACTTTTTGAAACCAACAATTGGAAAAGGAGAAGTTCCGACCAAATTCTTCCCAAATGTTTTTCTTAGGGAAGAAGCAGGAGAAATAACAACTTTGGTGAACAGAACATAGAACCAATCACGAACTTATCATACCAGCGAAGAATTTGTTCGTTAAGTAAGCTAAAGTCCCAGATGAGTAGAAGTCGGCGAGAGTCTCGACGATCTTTATGTAAGGAAACAAGAAAATTGCAGGCAACTGCAGGCCTCAGTCTGACATGCATGTAAACTTATAGAGAATGTTGTAAGATACCTCATGATGACACACATGAAGAATGATAACCTCAAATCACCAATACGGGTTCATCAACAAAAGGTCGCCCCCCTCCTCCCCCCAGCTTCTAAAAGTAATTGATGAATGGACCGAAGCACTTAACAAAGGATTTACGATGGACGCAGTATACATGGACTTCAAGAAAGCATTTGACTCCGTACCATACACGCGACTGATCAACAAAAGGCATAGGAATTCTGGAAGATCGTTCCAAATACGCATACAGCATCGGATTCCATGCCAGTCCCGTGGCGTTCATCATGGAAGCGTAATAGGATCATTACTATTTTGTCCTCTATATCAATCAACCTCCCTTATAGCGCAGATTACTTATTCATGGACGACACTAAAACCTTCAAGAGTATTAGGAGCCAGCAAAATCGGCAGGTCTTACAAGAGGATCTAATATAACTACATCAATGGAGTGATACATGGCTACTGATTCCACCAGGGTAAATCAGACAATGCACCAAAGGAGATGGCCCAAAACATTACCTCATCAAAGGTAAAAGGACCGGGAAAAGAACATCAGAGTGACTTTCGACTCAAAACTGACATTTGAACAACATATCAATGAAAAATAAACAAAGCTGACGTAATGGTGGGAGTCAAGAGAAGGGCATTCAAGTTCATAACTCCCGATGCGTTCACGTCGTTGCACAAAACCCTCGTCAGATGTCACCACAAGAATGCTACTCTGGAATCCGTAAACCTTTTCTATTCATCTGAAAGTCATCACTTGACTGAAATATCAATGCCCATGCACACCGGATAAAAATGGTTGCCCAATTGTCTAAAGCCAACTTTTACTTAGTCAAGGGAATAACCTAAAACAGTTCTTTTCAAATCCCCTCTCCTTGATCTCAATCTCTATAGATGTCCCAATTAGTCAGTCTGTACCCTATTTGTACCCCCAGTCTCAAGAGAGTTAACGTTATACTTGTTCTGCACCTGATTGACCTAAGAAAAATCCCGCCCTGTCGTAGGCTTAACAAAAGCGATTTTCCAAAAGCCTGCCCAACCCTAAGACACTTTCCTCATCAACATGAATAATATATAAACAATTTAATATAACCGATGTCGTTATATAAAGTTATTTTTGACCAACATAATTACTCCTAAAACATTCGAAAGTCACTGATATTGAATAAAGATTTGATTATTTACAATAATTTCCATCTATTCATATAAAAGGCCCCCCCTAGGTCAATTCAATATACGTGGAGAACGGTTTGCTCGCTGATTAGTGAATATATTCTTCGATACAACCTAATAATATAATTAAATTAGTCAGAAGGCTTTCATCCGGAAACAAGACGACTTTATCATAATATAATATTTGATAGCTAAGGGAGGTAATGCGTATAAAAATGGTAATATAATACATACTTAAACTGGCTTAGATCCATTGATTTAGATAAACCTCGTGTAAATTTCTCATTCAGGCCCGTTGCTACAAGAGGCGAGCAAAAAAATGCCCCCCCCCCCCC